CTCTCTACATGCACACACACATTGGGTATGTTTATCACGACACAAAGATGGGTATGCTGTGTCTGCCAAAAGTCTATAATAAGAACTATCGACACAATGGACGGTGTTCTGCTCCACAGTACATGTATGAAAAATGAACTTTTAAACTGGTAGGAACAAAGCGCGAGGGCATTTGGTCAGATGGAAGTCATGACGACCTTGCGGCGACACACATCGTCTTCGCTGTTATGTTATTAGCACTGCTGATACGGGTCAAACCGAAACCACCCCCAAATTGTGACTCGATGTTCAATTAACAGTTAACAGAACTTCGAGTTACAAGCAACCTATTTTTTTAGTTGGACGTCTACATTCAGTAACTCAAACTTTTCCATTAACTGAACTTCGAGTTACGGACAACATAGCAATTCTGTTTCGTTAAACGTTGTATATTCCCCGTAATTCGAAGTTCGGTTAACTGGTAATAAAAATTCTAGTTACTAAATTTAAACGTTAAACAAAACAAAAAAATCATGTTGCCAGTAACTCGAAATTCGGTTAAAGGAAAAGTCAAGTCTAACAACATAATACTCTCAGATAAAAGAGCCGCCAAAGGTAAGAACATACAATTTACAGCTTTTTCATATCATTTTTCATTATCTGGATATTTAACTTTTCATTAATTTATGTAGTCCACCATCTTGATTCTTCAGCAAAGGATTTCGGGTAAAGTATGGCATCACATCTACTGTTGTCAGAAATTGAGAAAATGATTTCATCTATTTAAAGTTAGAGTTACTAAATGTGGACGTTTAACAAAAATAAAAATATATGCTTCCCGTAACTAGAAGTTCTGTTAATAGTTAATTGACATCGAGTTACAATTTGGGCGTGGTTTTGCAAAAGTGGGCGTGGACATTTTTGTAACTCGATGTTTTCGTAACTCAATGTTCGTAACTCGATGTCCGTAACTCGAACAATTCAGCGTCTCACATATAACGCTCGGATGTCACAAATCAGACATCGTTACATTTGGGACGAATTGTTACTTTATTGCGTTGGCCGAGTAATCTCATGTGAGAACTACTCAAATGCGATGAACAGAGAACAACGCTACACTTTTAGCCAGTTTTTGACATTGAAATTCTTTCGTTTTTATGAAGAAAAGTACAGTAAACACCAAGTAAAATAGTGTTTAATAAAGTTATTGTTCGTACATGAGTTGCTGATCACGCTAGATAGTTTGAAATTCATTTAGCTTTTCAGTTACTATTCTAGACAATAATAAAATTCAAAAATACAGAGAATATTAAAACAATATCTTTTTTTCTGTAATATTCTTGTGTAATCGGTAATTATGAAAATTATCGTTGGTGTGCATATGCAATACATTTCGTTATGAATTATATATTTCAGAATTTTCTTGTCAAAATCAGCCGAAATTACGAAAACGGAAAGTATTTATCGTATTGTTGAACGCAAATCGACCTGTCTACAACGGTTTTTTACAGCATACAGTGACTATGACTGAGATCGTCTGTGGTAGCCATTACGTGTACAGACTATGCATGCGTAGGTTTTGCAAGCGATATGTTAATGGCACCCACATTGACTGAATATTATTGTCCCGACTATAGTAGTTGTGGATTACTGCAGATGTAAATTTGCATATATGTTTTTCATATACCAGAAACTTATACTATAACTGTGTGTTTCGCACATTCAGAAGTGTTGGGCCCCGCACAGCGCGTGTATGAATTTCGAGAAAATAAACAATAGACCACTTTCCCGGAAGTTGAAGATACGGCGTTCGGGGCACGCGCACGCATACCGTTTTGTGGAGCAAAGTAAACTTGCATACGTGATATGTATTTCTGGGTGTACTAGTCGACGTCAGGAAATAAAATTCCTTTCTATCGAATATCACCAAATAAACATGTTTGTATTCCCCGTCATGACAAAGCAGACTATTTCTGCACCCACGTCTCGCTACATCCGGGAAAGTGGTCTACGTAACTCACACGCGCTGCGTATGTCGTACGGGTTCGATATCGAACAGGACGCGGTGCAACTACTACACCCTTTAAATATCTATAACTAAAATTTATAACTATATTCTATCTTATATCCACTTTCGGCGATCTACTCTTCTCCTTGTTGTATAATTAGACAACATGAAAGTTTCTATAAATTTGAAAACAACAACCGCATATAACCATTGGTCTATGTATTAACAGATAAACTGACGATTATGTTTGAATGACAACTAGACTATTAATTGCATGTTTGCAACATTTAATGAAAATGATAGAAATTAACAAACTTCGTGTTTTATGTATGTGCGATTATATCTGTCAACAGTGACCGGTGACGTCTTCGTGATCTTGACACATACAACGTGTCTATTGAACTTGACAATGTTACAGTTCTCACACTGTCATGTCTGATATAGTCGAGGATACGTTGATGTATAAATGGCATACATACAACGTTGTCGTGGTTACCCGAATAGGAATTTGAGTGGAAAAAAATATGTTTGAGGTCATACTAATATTACAACGTCTGTGTGAAACATAGCTGACTGGTTGTAATATGAACGGCTTGGTGTAATCACAGGTCGCTTTAACGAGAACAGCTTAGTCGCGGATGTAAACATAGGTTTGTCAGCGGAATGCAAACAGCTGGGTGTGTGGGTCTCAGTCGGGTACTTTTACCGCCGATCGTAATTTCTTATGACTTGTTATTTTACGACCAAGACCAGTTACATTTTGATCAGATCACTCACCTGGCCCGGTAACGGTGGTTGATTCATAAAAATGACTGGTATAATTACATTTTTGTATTTAGGTGGCGGTGTTTCAGAAAAACCATAAATTGTGGATTACCTAGATATAAAACGGGAAACGTAGCTCATGTTTTCGCAACGAAGATGTAATGACTGTGAAAAGTGGTAGCAAGTACCGTCATTTCAGACGAAATTTTATCAGCGGAAATGGCTATGTATTCAGCGACTTTTACCTCAACAACAACTACTTTAGTGTTCTAGTGAACTCATAAACACGAATAATAGTTCCATTTTTTAGCACGACGTAAGAAGTAGTTTGATTCTCAATTTCGTAGCGTGACGTCACAATAATCAAATTAAACAATATAATTTGTTCATACTAGTAATTTTATTTTCACGTTATTTTCAATATTATAGAATAAACGATTAAAACACTTTATTTTTTCAAAATAGAATTATTTTGTCCATGTTTATTTCATTTATGCACGGAATGAAGTCTTTTGCGGGTTTCAAGCGCGCGTGATAAGTTGTGCTATGATATCATAACACTTAAGTCTCGTCAACGGATCATATTTACCCAAACACAAATTGATTCTTGGGGGTTTATCCATCCACCATCCACGAACAAGTACGACGCCGATAGTTACGACGTATTCGAACACATATATCACGTGACACACAACTCCGCAGTGATTGGCGTTGACGTTGTAGATTAAGCACTCTTGATCATGCGCAGTATCCAAATCAATTACATTTGATGACAACAACCTCATTAAAATATCAAGTATCGGAATTACAGTTTTTCAAGAGCCATTGACACCACAACTAAAACTAATATTGATATGGTGAACGAGTTATGCGTACTATTGCATTTACCAACTGCCTTCTGTGGGCGTAGGCACTTTTCCTGGGAGATATTGATGGGAAATACAGATGACGTTATATAAGCGATTATTAGTGATACGAGTTTTAACGTTTTTGCGGTCAGAATTTTGCTAGGCAAGAGTAAAATAAATTCCGGTCGCAAAATGTCCCATACCGATTACTGCTCTCCCTAACAAGTAGGCTGTAATTATATATGCGCATAATAAATTAGGATCGAGGCCATTAATGAAAAATATAGACAGAGCATGCGCGTTGTATATTAAACGTTTAGTCGTTCTTATTTATAAGGAGTGAAGTGTATACAACATAACAATTGGATTAAATGTCAACTTTAGTGGAGATGTGAACGACTGGAAAACTGACTTCGACCTGACCTCTGATCTTTCAAATTTAAAAACCATCTGGAATAAATATGAACATCGGTTTTCATTCAAGGTTGAAAATAAAAATGTTTTCAAACTTCACAAAAGTAGACCTATGATGGATGTCACATCGGCCTCGCCTCTATGTTTATTTTCCGCCAGTTTTCTACCTTATACACAGTGAATTGCAAACAAGTGTGCGTCTCCTTGAACCGCGAGTGGTTCGTCTTTATGCGGACAACAGCATTATGAGTTGGCTGAATAAGTTCACGAGAATTACGTTCTTTCAAAAAATACGCAGTGGTTCAACTGTTCGGAAGTCTGCAATACAAGCGCTGTGTTAGCCACGAAAAAACACCAATTCGGGGAAATAATAATAACAGGCACATAGCTTAAACCAAGTGCCAAGCGAAGCGTTTACTTAGATAAACATTACATATATTAACGTTTCGTCACAACAGAATCCCCTCCAACAATGGAACGTTGTTGTTTGCTATAATAATATCAAAACAAGATAGACTGCACTGTATTTTAACTAAGAGAAAGCCATTACGTGACGTTGTAGCAGAACAGTTTGAAATGTGACTTACCGTGGTGGGATATTTCACGGGAATGACGGCTAACACAATCGGTGTCAGTATCAGTATAAGCGTTTTTCGAAAACGCCATAATGTCTTGAAGAATTCAGCGCAAGACACCCGAAAACAACCTATGGCCGAGCAAGGCATCGTGCGGCTTCGTTAACAGCAGCCCTCGAGGTTCAACTGAACAGGGACTGCGTGAACCTTCGGTGGTCGAGTACATTCAGTGAAAGGGGTGCAGACGACGGAAAACAATGTGCGTATTCATCCCCTGGTATTCATGTTGTCATCGTGGATAAGTGGGCTGCTGTATGTGAACAACATGACAGATTGGTGACTGAGACGACTCAGTTTCACCCTGATGACAAATGTCAGTGGGTATCCATTTCACGACCACCCCAACATCCCTGAATATAACGCATACATATCATAAATATTTAGGATTTCTGCACAACTTCACTTCACTGCGACAATCCTGCATAAGTTTACGTTATCAATGACAATAGGTCTCTTACTACATTACATACGCCCTTTAAACTCCCCATTGACGACAAAGCAAGCACTTGAAAAGTAGGATTATTTTATACATAAAATTAAAAAGGGCGGTTTAGTCTAGTTTTTAAATCAAATAATAAACAGCATCAATACTGCGTTGATAGTCTCAATTATTAAACCGATTCACTACCCTGGTGTGCACAATTTGGCTCAGTCCGCTATTTCAACAACAACAACAACAACAACAACAAAAACAGTTGTTTTTCGCTGAAATTCCATTCACAAACCTAAAGTCTGCATATCCTGGTATGATATTAAATAGAACATTCTGAAAATACAAGCATGCCATCCATTGCAAAATGTTGTTTTCAACATAAACACCGACATAAAGACAATTACGTTTGCCTTGATACCAATTCTATCCTCAGTGTGCAACCCCTGAAATCTAAAACAACAGATATGTATATATAAGACGATATTCGCTCTTTAACAAGAAGACTATATGTTTTAATATAAATATCATATTAACAAATAACAAAAAATATATTCACCGCTACGAAATTAGGACATGTGACAGAGAAGTACTGCTGGAACTTATTGCTTAATACGGGAGCAAAGTTGGATCAGGTTTCTGACAAAAAATCGAAGATACAAACATTTGCCGTGCCGCATAAGTATTCAGTTACACCATATAAGGCCCGCAACATCTGAATCAACCAAATTTAATAGCTCGACCGTGGAATTGCGTTGTTAGAAAACCATATTAATATAAATTCATCCTCGGCCAATAATTAGTATGATAAAATACCTATGACAATATATCATATGCCAACGTAGCGTTGACAGGATTGGCTAAAAAGTATTGTGACGTCATATTCTCGGCATTAATGTCTGTTGAAGTGCTGTTCAGGAACGCTCTCAGGTACTCAGTACAGTTTATCGATGCTGCCGTAGTTGCTGATGGAATACCCGTGTCTAACGCCCAATCCGGGAACGTGCCAAGGTCAAAGTGCCACCAGCCTATGGTATTGATACTGAGATTGACCACCAATATACATATGATATTCATCATCGCACCGGCACTTGCCTACGAAAGTGAAACAAAAGCGTTGTTATTATAATTGCTATTTTTTAAATAGGTCTTCCACAAAATAGGGCTTGTGCACACATTCGGTCTAATAAAAAGACGGGTATACTATCCACAGTAGATATACATGTCATACTGCCTTATACATGGTACATTTACAAGATTCAGAATTAATATAAATGATGCCAAAAGTTTTATTTTAAAAAACGTTTCGGTTACTTCTCGTATCACTCCGTTTCATTCATGTAACGTAACCATGAAAATTGTGACGGTCTCAGAATTGTCAACAATATTGACTTTTTCAAGGGAGTCACGTATATTTGCTATTCTCAACTACTAAAAAACATGAAAAAGATCGGGCGAGACAAACATGTGTAGGTTCACTATTAAACGTCAGTGACGTGAGATTCCGTTCACTGCGAGATCCCGCGTTATACGTGAATCTAAACATCACGTGGGATTCGACAAACGGGGGGGAGTATTTTCACGCTCAATAATGTGCTATACACAATTGATAATAGCTAATTATGATGAAGTAAGGATATCTTAACTCAATATTGCCCTCTCAAAGATTGGCATTTCGGTGATGGCGTTCTTACCATATCCGCAATGGATAGAGTGCCGTAAGCAAAAACAATTGCGTTTGGTGGCGTTGCTACGGGCAACATGAATGCAAATGAACACGCCACAGCGGCTGGTACCATGAAATAAAACGGATGCACGCCGAGGGTCGTTCCCTGTGAGGTAAAACGTAAAGTTTCGTTATTCAAAATGTCTGATACTATACACCAAAAGACGAACACCAGATTACACACATCACTTCATATCGTACGAGCAGTAACTATGGCACACCTCCTTATGTTTGGAATTAACAATACGACGTAAATAAGAAACGGAAACTTACAAGCTGGCCAAGGATTGGCAGAAAGATGGAGGCTGTTGATACGTTGCTGGTAATCTCAGTAAAGATGGCGATAATGACAGTTATAATAAACACGATGGCGGCCGGTGGTATAACTGCTAGAACGACCAACTGTGTACCAAGCCATTCAGACAGACCAGATACCTAGAAACGGAGATAAATATGGTACATAATCAGATGATTAGACAATAATAAATAATTAGATATCGTTCAGACAGGTTAAAGGACGGCGGTGCTAATATGCGCCACTGCGCGTATCGAACCCGTAGGTAACACACGCGACAATCACTCACGGTGTTCGATATTGGTTTCAAGCGACGTATCCAACGAGTGTAAAATAATAAATAGGTAAATCAATATTTAGTTATCGTTGTCCTGAATAGCTATTCAAAATAGTTAGACGTTTCGGACACTGGTTCGGATTGTGGTTCATGTAGTTTTGAATAAACAAATAATTGGGGGCAATTTTGAATAATAATAATATAACATCTGTTATTCGTGGTAACTTGAACATAGATTTCGATTACCAGTTCGCAAAGAACTTATACTGGTATTTACCTTACATGCGTCAGCCAGTGCGAATCCACCGCCCAATAGGATCACAACATTCCACGGTAACTTTGTATTCACTGTATGCCAGTCTAATAACGCCTGCCTTGGACCTGCTACCGAATCATCTAAAAAGAACATGGACAGAATTAATATTATACTACTTCTATGTAGACGTACATAGTTCGTAATTTAACTCCCTGGTATGGAGCAGACTTAAATTGCACGTGACAAACAGAATCCTATCACTTGTTTCACAGCCGGGTAGTGGGGAAGAAACTTTCCCATGATATTTTGCAGGGAACCAGAAACCTGTTCTCTGCAGTATGTTTATAAATATTCATATATTTTATAATTCAAACTGAAACAAAAGGTTTATATCGGTCGATGTATTAACATTGGGACATTTTCAAATGACGTCTTTGCGCACTGTGCTCGTTGATTGGCTAATTGAATTCAACTACCATTTGCGAAGTTATATTCTAGTGTAATGAAACTCGTGAACTAAGCGTGTGAGTTTCTTGCATTCATGCGCGTGCGCGCCAATTGATACGTTGTTTGTTGTATTCAGCCCAACTGTGGTTGCCGCCGTGTATAGCAATTTCTAAAAAGCTCACCTGTACGAAATCGTAGACAGCCGAAGTTTGGAGGGCGAGATGGAAAACAAAATAATAGAACACAGACGAACACACCTGCCGTGGCATCAGAAACGTACCTGAGAGAAAGCACTATTCAGTAATCTCAACAACTGTTTAGCAGTTAGTCTGCAGGTTATAACTGCATATATTGTACTACATATCTGTCTTGAACACACTTACTTCCATTGGGCCAACATTCTTATTGGGCCAAATCAAATCACTAAAAAGTAAATGTACGCATGTTTTTTTTCGATGAGTATTAAACACACGGCGCTCACTATATCGTATAGATTGCAGAACTTACCCCGGTATAAAAGCCGATACCCAGCCTGGAGCAAACTTGGGGTCACGTGCCAACCAAAGTAAGACTAGCAGTACAAAGTTGCCTAGTACAGCTTTCTCTGCCCATCTGAAACATGGGAGAGGAATACCGTAATTGACACCTATGTAATTTATACATGTACATGAGCTACTATCAGAGTAAATACGGCAGCTTAACAGGTTGTTAAAGACGTTTATTATACATCATATGTTCACGTGCTATCCGATTAAAGATACAGACTTTAAATTATGAGTATCGTTACAAAGACCGACCTTTTGCGTCAGTCAACTAGATAGTTACATTTACTCACGTCATAGGTCCTAACTGCTTGTATTGTTTTCTTATCACTCCACTGACCGGGTCTTCGGCTTTATGAGCAGCCCGTCTTCTGCTTCCACACGGGCATTTACAGGAACAACACCGTTGAATATGTCCATTGGCACACTGGATAAACCAACCACGGATGGTCCGTCTGCAAAGAAAAGTCCATAACGACGTTACTGCACTATTTTAAAGTTGTCAAACACAGTGAATAAATAGCTAACACAAAGGGACATCGGAAAGTTATAAGTCGGGCTTTGCCCTCACAACACGCCTCTCCCCTGTAGTGTTTCCTACACTTGCTTATGTATGGGGAGTCGTCACCTGCCCATGCGTCAGATGGCCATAGCGTGTCATTGTTTACAAACAAGTGTCTACCTTTGCGTTTTTAGCGTGTGTTGTTATCATCGCTTGGGACTCGATTCCCGCGCGTGCGCAGGTGACGACCGCTCCGCTTTAAGACTCGATTGACAACTCAATTATTTTGTGAATTACTCATGAGCATACGTGCCGACACGCATACACCTAGACTCACCTTAGATCTAAGTAGACAAACTGCAACCATATCCAGGCAAAGAATAGGCACGTCAGCATACCAGGAAATGCATAGACAAACCATGAGCCAAAGTCTATGCTGGCTTCACGGCCATACATACTGTGTATGAAACGAACAACGTCATTATGGTGCCGGGCCGTCTGGCTTTTATGCATACTCTTATTCGTACGAACAGATTTTAGTAAATATATCTAATGTGTTTCATCTTATATTGTATTGATTTGTTCGGTTCTGATAAACCGAATCTCAGATTAGTAATCAAAAGTGTTGAAACTAAATGGTGCATAAACAACACAGAAACAATTGGCTTCGTTACTGTGGGCGGAATTTGTGTAGCTCCGGAAAGGTTAGTATCGGCTATTAGGGGGTCTGAGAGCATAAACGCATTAATATTAAACTCGGTGGAAGAAAAACATCTGCGCCTGAGAGACGTTTTTTTAATGAAAGTTCCATAAATACAACATTCCTGTAAATAGCGCCCTCTAGTGACGGAAGCCTTATGTGACGTAAATTCGACCACTGTGTTTGGTGGCACAATCATTAGTCATATATAAAATCTCTCAAAAACATAATCTTCATTGAAGGACGACTACAGATCAAAACGATATCGACACTTCGAATGGTATTCGTGTCACCCATTTACGTCATAGAGGTTCCTCGTCACTAGAGGGCGCGATTCATACAATACTATTCAGATGACAATTTCTATCGAAGACAAAAGATACACTATGTTAACGTACATAAATGTGTGTTCGCACGTGTAATATTATCAGTGGTATCGTGGCATTCAGCATTGTGGCCAGACTGCAAACGTCCTCGCTGTGAAAACGTCGATTTGTGTGAGATAGACACACATACCTGTCAATCTGTCCGCTGATAACCAGATTTGAGCCGGTACCAGTGAGTGTAGCTGTGCCGCCAATATTAGCGGCATACGCAATGCAAATAGTTATGCCTTTAACAAATTTCGTATCTTTCTCCGACGTCGTATCTGTAAGTATACCCAATGCACCAATTTTCTTCTCTTCGTCTGTTTCTCTCAATGGTCTTTGATAAAAGTATTAAATTCACATTGGTTATATTAGGATGTATGTTCAACATGTATGAATACAAATGCAATGGGGCAACTCGTCTTGTTGAACAATTGAATTGTTGTCGGAGGTATTTGACCAACAAAATCAGAGTTTCGGTATGGCACGTAACTACATGTAATCAAAACATTCATCAAGTTATTAAGAACGACGTTTCCACCTCAATGTAATTTGTTTTATTTCAGGAAAGGTTTCGTATAGCTATGGAAAATATTGAACAGCTGAATTAATATTATCTCACACTTTACTAGAATGGCCATGAAGTCCAATTATAACACAATACAAATACAAAACAATACGATAAACATATTGTGCTAAGATCAGACGTGTATTATCGCCTGTCATACTGTGGTTTTATGATGATGTCGACATGTGACATTAAAGGGCGGTAGTCGTCGCGCCACGCATGCGCGAGATATATGGGTCTCATATAAACAAAAATGGCGACTTTGGCTGTTGCGCGAATCAACGAGTACAAACTGAGACATTACCAAGTTTTGATTAGGTATTTTTTAAGTGACTTTGAGGTATCGAAGGAGTCACCGGCGGTAAATAGTGCAAGTCACGCCCAGGTCAAACCACATACTTGTGATTTCTATTAGAAGAGCGTATTGGATTGTAGGGGAAATCAATGTTTATCAAAACAAATGTCGCACATGCGCGGAGCGACGACAACAACCTCAAGGTATTAGCAAACACAGAAATGTTGAGCGTCGTTGTACATAACGTGTCCAACCGTCACGGTGCTTTTAGTAAATTTGGACTTGAGCCGCGTTAGAGAACAAAATTAATTGTAATATATCACATATTTTTTAAAGCGGGGGTAGACACAGCGTGTTGTTGTTTACAAACATGCGTCTATCCACGAGATTTGCGTTTTTAGCGTGCGTTGTTATCGTGGAATGGAACTCAATTCCCGCGCGTGCAGGTGACGACCCATCCGCTTCAATGCAACGTAAATGAATGATTATGATTATTATATTAGCGAGAACAAATACATAATTGTACTTTCAGTAACTCACCTGTCTTGTTTCTTGGGGTCTTTCAGCTCAATCTCTTCCAGGTTTGTGAAACCATTTTTGTTCTCGCTATCGTCTGGGTCAGGTTTATTTGTTCGTAGTAACTCATCTCCTGCACTCCCTTTATTCAGCTACAAATGTGACCAAAAACGGCTATGTTCTTCAAGTTACATTCAGGTAAATGGGAAGGTGAACCAAAATGTGTCGTAACAGCCAGGCAAGGCGCTTCCTTATTTCAAACGCGCCATTCCACCAAATTATCAGTACAAACTCGAACCAGGCAAAACAACGTCCCATGATGTAAGTGAGGACAGAGGTGGCGGCACGAAAATTTGCATGAGGGGGCGAGATTTGACCTAGACCCTCTGAAACGCTAATTTCTGCATTCTGAGCGGCACATTTTGCTGACACAAAGGGTTCCAGCTTGATTGTTGAGACGCCCCCCTCCCACACTAGGGACACACACACACATTTGTTTTGGCCGCGGTTGGCGCCCGCCCCTCTGCCCCCGGTGCCGCCGCCACTAGAGGTGATTTGGATGCGATTAAAGGCAAATTCAAATATGTGGTGATGTATAATACACGTACAAGTATTAAATCAGTCTGAGACCTAGAAAAAATAAGGTATTGTCGGGGAGAATTATTAGTATTGTGAAAAATGTGGAAAAACGTGTCTGCTTTTAGCAGACCCCAGAAAAATGTCAGAATTAGAATCACATGATCATACGCAGATACACGTAATATAACAAATATCAATCCTGAATAAATGAGGGTAGCGTAGCGATTAGAATACACGAAACTTATCTATAATCGTGAAATCCATAAAAACAAGACCTAGTGAGTTCGGTCACCGACCTCTCGCTTTTTTTCCAGTAATTCGACGACCACGGCATGTGCTATGGGCACCATCATGGCGGTGGTGGCAGTATTACTCATCCACATCGAAAGAAAAGCAGTGCTGACCATAAAACCAAACATCAACCTAGAACGGTTTATAACAACACGTGTAATAAATATATAATCAAAGAAAGCTTAGAAAGAACTCCCATGTGCTGAGAGTATTGGAGACACATTACAAATAATTCGAAATTACTTGTACTTGATTGAGATAGTGATGGAAAAGCCGAAAACTAATAATGCAAATCAGAAAATTAATATGCACAGATTTGAATGTAAAACTAATGAGGTCTGCGCAATGTAACAGACCATCTATGTACCAAGTTTTATTGAAATGTGATTGGAACCCAAAAAAATATGAATTATTATGCTAATTAGGGAATTAATATAAACAGATTTTAACCCCAAACTAATCAGGTTTGAACATTGTCCTAAAGCATCTTTGTACTAAGTTTCATTGAAATGGAATAATTAGTACTTTAGATATCAGTGTGATAGCTTAAAAGTGGTTAATTATGCAAATTAGTGATTATTATGTACAGATTTTAACCCCAAACTAATCAGGTTTGTACATTGTCCTACAGCATCCATGTACACAGTTTGATTGAAATGTGATGATTAGTACTTGAGAAATCAGTGTGAAAGCTGAAAATTAATCAATTATGCAGATTAGGTAATTAATATGCACAATTATTTACCCTAAAACTAATCAGGTCTGTGCAGTGTCCTATGACATCTATGTACCAAGTTTCATTGAAATGTGATGATTAGTACTTGAGATATCAGTGGAAAAAACAAAAATTGACTAATCATTATGCAAATTAGGTAATTAGTAATTAGGTAAATTTTACCAAAAACTGATCAAAACCTAGCATTAGTTTAGAGCATCTATGTACCAAGTTTCATCAAAATCCAATGAGTGGTTGTTTAGATATCAGTGGAACAGGCATGGAACAGCTAAAAATCAGCTAATTATCATGCAAATTAGGTAATTAATATGCATGGATTTTACCAAAACCTAATCAAATCTGCGCATTGGCCCAGAGCATCTATGCACTAAGTTTCATTAAAAACTGATGTACAGTTCTTGAGATATCAGTGGAACAGACGGACGCACATACACACACACACACACCCACATATACATACAGACACACTAACCGCAAAGACTCCCATTTTGTGCTTCGCACATGGGAGTCAAAAACAAGTTATGGTAACAAAAGAAATGGAATATTGTATATGTAGTAAAAATAGCACTATCGAATTGTTTTAGGTGAAGTGGGGAAACTTTACCTAATGTTGTTTTTTGCATCTTACAACTCACAAACGTTATATATCATTGAAGTTACTAGGTAATCTGTCTTCATTTATTTGTTTTTACTTTTTTATTTGTAAATTACTGTTTATTTATTTACTTATTTATTTACTTGAGTCGTGTATTTTTTTGTATAGGAATAATAAACAAAATCAAAAGGAAAATATATATATGAACATTTAAATTCGTGTCTCTAACAGCAGAGGAAAATACTATTGAACGAATAATGCTAATACAATAAAATATCGGTTTAATGAGTTCCAGTAAATGCTGCCTTCTTTATCGCAAGAAATGATGTGCACACGACTGCGCCATGCTTGTCACGCATGCGCTGTTAAATTATATATACGCACCCTTAATATGTTGCTGAACAAAAGAATGTTTGCGCCAACGAAATAAATCCTTTATAGTTTATTTATTGAACTTGAACACCATCTTATACATGAATGTATAAAGTGACAAACCTATGACTATGAAATATAATGTACTTACCATTCCGGTTTAGATCCGACGGACAACAACACTCGCAGCGCTATCCTACGATGTAAGTTCCATTTCTCCACCGCTGTGGCCAAGATAAGCCCACTGACACAAACCATATTGGTGTCCTTAAGGTAGATAGAACACACCCTCTTGGAATCCACCACTCCCAATATAGGGAAGAGCACCATGGGTAGGAGAGCAGTCACTGCCAATGGTAAAACTTCAGTGACCCAGTACACGGCCATTATGAGGATTGCGTAAGCACATTTTGCAGCCTGAAAATTATATAGGTAGCATGTTTAGGTCGGTTTTTATTTCAATCGTGCAGAAGCTGTATACAATAAGCATAAGAGTTGATGGCAAATATTGTTCATGGTCATTTCAGCGCATCGATGTATGATTGTGTTGCAGAGTAAAGGTAAAGGCAGATAACTCGGAGCCCTTGGTCTGGGTCATGAAGAAAAATTGAAAGCGGTGCTCAGCTAAAAATAGGCAAAGGTTATTGTAGTGATAATAAATTATCCCCATAGAGGCAATAACCCCTTGTAAACCAAGAACAAAAACAGACAATAGACGAATAATTCGCCCACAGTAAATAGACCATGCAAAGGGTCAAAGGAACTAGTGAAGTGCCCCATGATATAACTGGTGCAGTGATGATGAGATACAATGACGGAGGATGCCACATTTAACGCATCTTAGAACTAGACCAGCCTATAACAGAATACTGAAGCGTCACATTAAAGCCATTGTTTTCTCAATTGTATATGTTCCAAAATTACACCCAAACAAAACAGTGAGTTGAAAATACCTCTCCCAATGTAATTTCCGCATTCTAAATTGTCAGTATATACACCACATACAATTAGTCAACAGACAGTAAATGTGTTCGCTCTGGTTGTCTGACTGTCAGATCATATTTCTCAAACTGGAATTCACGTTAAAATTAGTGCTCGTGGTTGCATTTTGGTGTAATAGCGCTGTATAGTATACATATATTATTATGTTACATGCATTTCAAGTGGTTGACTTTTCGGGTGACAACAATGATGGTTGAATGGCATCCAATTCATATGTAACATTGTTTCTCACATACAAATCCCCAAATCTGTTGAATATAATTATTTGGTGAATAATACTATATACCATTGTACAACGAAATATTTATATCGAAATTCCGGGCAAATATATGAATGTGTAAGCGCTCTCCGCTCCGTCACGTATATAATTGTTCCCAAAAAGAACAGTTGATATAGCGCGCAGTGAATGCGCTCTTACAACGACTGGTTGGACATGCCCAATTAGAATCTCCGTTGTCACAATCAATGTATAGAACGTGTAGACACATAAATACAACCTAGGGTAATAATATACTATAAACTTCTTGCTGTAAACATAAAAGGTAGCTTCAGACTTACCGTATCATCCACGTATATTAGCAGTGGCGACAGCAATAGCGGTGTTAGCACCAATATTAGGGTAGATCTGAATCTCCACGATATTGAAAGAACTTCACGACAAGTAACACTTGCACACTCTAACGGGAAACGAGCCATATTCATAGAACGACGTCAGGTCGATGCCAGGAAAAAGCTAAGGTATGAATGTACAAAAACTGTTTATTTAGATTTAATGTATATTTGTCTGGGATTACGAGCGTGACCCATTTTAGACGCCCCGGTATAAAGACGGTTAATTCGCCTACTCACGCTATATGCGTATTAAAATAGTCAATACTGGTAAACACTGATCACTCAGTTCCCATCAGCCAGAAAACAACCCCTGAAATATCTCACTTTTACAACTTATGTTCACATCAATATCTGTATTATGCGGGGAATATATTCATAAGCGCCCTCTAGTGAAACATAATTCATAGATGGTTGTTTCACCACAAAACAAATATATAATCTGCGAGGCATGCTGGGGAATGATGTTGTCTCTGCTGTCAACTATTTTTAGTACGTAGTATTTTTACAAAAACATTATCGTCTCTCATCCAACTCCTAAATTTACAAATAACACAACAAAGTGAATATATATGAAGTTCAATATATTTTTTATCTTTCTTTTTTCAAGAGCTTTCAATCATTGCATCACACACTGAGCCACGAGAGGGCGTCCGCAAGAGGGCGTCTACAATGGACACAAGTCTCTTAGTTGTTTCATGGCAACCCGGCTCTCGGGGTAACCCACCTTTTGCCATTTAGATAATATTTTATTAAATTGAAAAAAACTATTGCTTATATAATTGCTGATGATGATACTCGCCCGGACCCAGAGACGCTATCAATCCATCTTTTTATGTTTAAGTATGGGACGTGGGAACAATACAAGCGAAAACACCATCGTCTGCTTACAGTGACGAGGCCTTTCGCCGTTCTCTCGAGTTACATTCTTGGATGTTGCGTGGTTAATATGGTAATTTGCTGTTTACCGGATATTTGAATTGTACTTGAAAACTATTCGTGGTGTAATATAGTGTAATTGTAACTAATACAAACAAATCTACCAGCCCGACCCTGTGCAAGAAGCAAAAATAGTAAACGAATTCCAGAGAAATACCTATATCAAAAATGAAAACAAGAAAAAATACGAAGAGAAAAATAATAAGAAAAAAATAATAATCAGAGCAAAATCAATGGTCTCGTTGGCGGCACATGCAATACATGTGAGGGCGTAGTTGTATTCGAAGCCTTATCTAACAACTACCAGTATAAACAGTATAGAATAATACCACGTGACCGTTAAGTGCAATGACCAATAAACTCGACCACCTATATTCGTTCGGAGGGGGAGGGGTAACGTGTCCCGTAGTCTGCCAGTCGTGCGTATGCCACACACGCCCACATTCACGATATTATCTGACTAGCGCCAGCATGCGGTGACGGGTTGCTGTTCTATTTACAGTGATCCGAAAAGAGCGAAAACAACATTACCGTATTCTGGACGCGCTAATGGGTTGCCTAATGGGCCGAT